CTGGAATATTATTCCAGTTCATTATCAAGAAAATTGTTAAAAAGTTCACTGTTATCTAATGCCAAGAGCTATCCTTGCTTTGCCTACTACTCGTGATGGTGACCTTATTGCCAACTAAACAGCAGTTGATCCAAACACGCCGTCTTAGTGTCTGCTTTCTCAAACCAGTACTGATACCAGATGTCACATGTCGATTTTCCCAGGAAGCGTATTCTTCAAATCTCTTTAAAGAAGAGTTTGAGATGGAGACAAGGAAGTAGGAAGTTTATTAACGAGTGGTTTTGGTATCCTCACTTACTGAAGGAGAGGTTATGAAGCAATATTGGCCAGATAGAGAACTAGGATTGTGAGGCAGTTTCAATGAAAGTCCCATGTGGTACCATGGGAAGTTCTGTAGATGAGAATTATTCTGAGTTGTAGCAAAGGGACTGGCCATCCATACGCTTGTATCAACTATCCACTAGTTTTGAGCCATTGTTGCAAGAGGGCATGATCCGTTTGCTGCAATGGTACCTAATGCACTACACGAACCCTTAGAGTGAAATGGCTGTTCTTCAGTTCTAATTTTCAAAATAACACTCACATGTAGCTTGTGCCCAACTCCAGATTGTAATCATGTGGAAAAGAAACTCTAACTTTGTTCCATGCTGCTAAGTTGATACAGTACAAAACCTACCAAAATTTATCCTTTGTCAACTTAGTATCCACCTACACTTAAGCATATTTAAATTTTAAAAACTTCAATCATAAAACCATGCTTTCACTTAACATGATGCTAGTATCTCTCATAAAGTCTAAAATGTACTGGGGCTGGGCCGGTAGTGTAGTGGTTAAGTTCGTGTGCTCCACTTTGGCTGCCCGGGGTTTGCAGGTTCAGATCCCGGCCGCAGACCTATTCACTGCTTATCAAGCCATGGTATTGAGCCATGTTGTGGCAGGTGTTCCACATAAAATAGAGGAAGATGGGCACAGATGTTAGCTCAGCACCAATCTTCCTCAGCAAAAAGAGGAGGATTGACAACAGATGTTAGCTCAGGGCTAATCTTCCTCACCAAAAAATAAAATAAATATATATATATATATATATACACACACACGCTAATCCCCTCTCTAAAATATATATCTCATACATCCCCTCTCTCTTATACAGCACCCTATTGATCTTTGAGTGATGGTCATTATTTTTCTAGTTGAGTAATAACCACCCGTTGATATCCTGCAACTTAAATACTGAAGAGTAAGTTTAAACACTATTGGCTTGTGTTATGTTAGATGATATGAGAATGGTAAAGGGAAAAACAAAAATAAAATAATGGGTTGACATATGAACATATATATTTATATCAAAATAAGAAAGAACTGTTTTATTACAGTCTTTGTCTCTGCCTCTGTTAACATGGTCATAGCTGGGATTCATAACATGTTCCACAACCCCTTCCTTAATCCCTTTTCCTTCAGTGAGAACTTTGGAAATTAATGATTCATTGTCTTGTATAATGATCCTTTATTTTTTTTAATGACTGGGCCTTACACTATTCTTCCCACGTTAGATTATTGTAGTTTTGCATTGAATTTTATCAAAGAACATGGTCAAACTGAAAGACTACCTAGAGGACTTCATGCATTACAAATGCATGCATTTCTCCGCCTTACCTCCATTTTGAAGCAGCAATCCAATGTTCACTTGATTATTAGGATAAATCACCTCAGGAAGTACAGTAACCCCATTCTTTGACTGTTAGTTAATTGACATGAGGGGCTTATGTCATGTGGCCAGACAACAGTCCCAACTTCCATTTTAATGGAGCAAATGCTATGTCTCTGGTGCCATATTGGGAACCTCTGCTGGCCTCTAGACCAACAGAGCCCAAATTTGGGGTGACTGGAAGCAAAAATTTCACTAATAAATCGTTAGAATTAATAGTAACAGAAAAGGCTTTCCCAATGTACCTGTGGCTTTACTGCTCGATACCAGATGCATAAATTCTAGATAGGAGAAACATCATTGGATATTGGTTTATGATTTAGAGTGTACATTTACCATGTTCTGGAAGGTGCTACCTCAGCCTAGTAAATGTTGCTAGCTGATGTCTTAACTGAGTCTCTAAAAGGCTTTCAATTGTTTTATCAGGGTAGGTGCTTCAGTGTGGAGGAAATACAATAAGACTAGAAAATTTCATAAGCATGAGACCATTTCTACACTTTATTTGCTATAAAATGAGTTCTTTGACAGGAAGCAACGCTATGTAAAATACCACGTTGGATAATAAGGCATTTTCTAAGTCCAAGGATGGCAGTTTTATCAGAAGCTCTCTGAGCAAGGAAGGTACTTTCACATTCAAAATAAGTTCCTATTGCTATAAGTGTTGCTCCTTCGTATGATGGAAGTGATCCAAATTGATCAATTTGTCAACAGTATCCAGTTGATCCACCTAGAAAATGGTGTGATTTCTGGGCTCAGGTTTGACATCAGTATTAAAAAATAGACCACTCAGTAGTGGCAATAGCCAAATATGCCCTGGTGAGAAGTCTGTGTCTTATATATATTTTAGAGACAAAAGGCACACTGCTGTTACTATACTGCCTCCTCAATAATGCAGACTGTAACTCCTATGAAACTTTTGGACTTTAAAACTATAGAGTTTTTTTTTAGAGTTTGCTAAGACTGTTTTTCTACTTCTTGATATTTTTCTGTGAGATTTTTCTCTTTATTAACAATTATGACACATAAACACTTAACCCTCTTATAAGTCTCTGCCCGCCTTCCTGCCCCACGCAGAGAGACGTGCACACACATAGATATGCACACACCCCTAGATCCACTCCTCCCACCCCTAGATCCAAGATAGCTATATATTTATTTTTGATCCTATAACTAATCGCTATGTATATCGTTATAAGGAGCTAAATATTATTTATGACTAAATAACTTAATGTTCTGTGTTTGTAACATAGACTTTCTTATATAATTTTTGTTTTCTCTTGAATTATTAATTGCACTGGTTTTTACATTCGCTGATTTAAAATATTTTCTTTTCTTTTTTAATGTAACTTTTTATTTTAGTGTTTTTATTATAATGAATACAATGTAATGAATACTCTATTCAATAAAATAAAATTTATTACCAGGAATGATTATTTAAATAATACCACCATCATTTGGATCCCATTTGTCAGAGATAGTATTTACTAACAATTTAGTGTGTATTCTTATAGAATTATTCCCATGCGCAAATGTATATATGTGAAATATATATTTATTGTATACAAAAATGTGATAATAATAAATATACAAACAGAAATAGCACAGTATAATGATTATGGGTACAATTCTGGGGACAGAATGCTTAGTTTTAAATCACATCTCTCCCACTTTCTTCATCTGTAAAATGAGATAAATGATAATTACCTTATAACTTTTAAATATATTTATAATTTACATATAATGTAATTACATACAATGTTTATATTATCTACATTGTGTCTACTATATATTCTACATAGATAATATGTTATATATAGATTATATATTTTATGTATTATATTATATTATATATGTCTGTGTATGTGCATGTGAGTGTGATATATATATATATATATACAGCACTCAGACCAGTGCCTAGTACATAATAACTATAACATAAGTTTTTGCCAATCTATTATCCTTTATGCTTATTTTCTTAGATTCATGGACAACTTTCTGTGTCAAAACATATAATACACCTAAAATTAAATAATCCTGACTGCCTCATCCTGCAAAATACCCCGAATCAAATAATGTTCCATATGAAAGTTATCAGGAAATTATATAAAACCAAGGAATTTTACCTGTGAGATACTTTGTTTTTTCTGTGAAAGTACACTTGATCCGTTTTTAAAGAAGCACTCTCTTTTCTGATAATGAGTCAAAAAATTATTGATGAGTTCTGCTATATGGGTGACACAGAATTTGTGAGGCAGAATGTTAAAAGTTCAAGCTTCAACATTAGCCATTCACATTATAAGTAGACACATGGGATCTTATCACAGAATAAGTTAATCCCTACTTAAATGCAAATAATAGGGCCGGCCCCGTGGCTTGGTGGTTAAGTGAGCGCGCTCCACTGCTGGCGACCCGGGTTCGGATCCCGGGCGCGCACCGACGCACCGCTTCTCTGGCCATGCTGAGGCCGCGTCCCACGTACAGCAACTAGAAGGATGTGCAGCTGTGACACACAACTATCTACTGGGGCTTTGGGGGGAAAAATAAATAAATAAAATCTTTAAAAAAAAATAAAATAAAAAAAAAATAAATGCAAATAATAGAGATTTGAGGAACTAAAGCAGATATTTGGGATAAACACTGCCTAAGACACCTGATTCTAGAACTACTATATATCTGAGAGATCATATAGCCCAAGAGACAGGGCAGCTTGCACCACAATCTAGATCTGTCGTAGAAACAGAATCTATCGGAGATACATCTATATGTATATCCATCATACGCGTGCACACACACACACACACACACACACACAGGGAGAGAGAAAGATATTTATAAGATTTTTTTTTTTCCTGCAGCACTTTATTTTCCTCACACAATGATGCATTGCTGGGGCCTAATGTTCTCACATGACAGTAGAAAACCAAAATCTGTTGTCACCTCTTAAAGAATTGAGAATTATGTACAAAAACCTTACATAAATTAAAAGGATGAATAAATTTACAGGTGTAAATGCAAACCATTTTCCAATTCAAGGCAAGTAACAACCCACAGTGTTCTGGTGGGAAAAGATTGGGTAAGATGTTTTCTTTTCTTATATAGATAGCATAAAGAATTGGCTCAAGTAGTTATGGGGGCTGGAAGTCCTACAATCTGTCATCTACAAGGCAGAGACACAGGAAAGCCAGTGGTGCAGTTCCAGTCCAAGTCAGAAGGTCCGAGAACCAGGAACACTGATTGGTATGAGTCCCAGTCTGAGCGAAGGTCAAGACCAATATTCTTGTCAGACAGTCAGACAAGGAGGGTGAATTCTGCCTTCCTCTGCCTTTTTATTCTATTCAGGCTCTCAATGGATTGGAGGATGCCCACCCTCATCGTGGAGGACAGTCAGCTTTACTCAGTCCACTGATTCAAACGTTAATCTCGTCCAGAGACACCCAAACAAACACACCCAGGAATAATGCTTAACCAGTTATCTGGGCACCCTATGACCCAGTCAAGCTGACACATAACATTATTCACCACAGTTGCCTCCTGAAAGAATGCATGCTCTCTCCAAATCCAGAGAAGTGCACCACAACCTCTGCTCATTCAGAGTGAAAGAATTCAGTACCTTGTCCTTTGCCTTAATAGAATTTCTTGGAATATCCCAAATCATTGAACTCATAAATTTCAATGTGAGACAGCTGAATCTTTGCAGGGTTTCTTTCATTCCCGGCATGCATGCTTCTCCCTTGGGCATCCGATGTACTTGTTACTTCTTGTTCTTTTGGTATAATTAACATGATGTCATGCATCAATACAGCGGACAAGTGTGAGCTATGTGGAATGTCAAGATGATCAAGGTCCTTTTGAACTATATTGTGACAGAGCGGGATAGTTAACATAACTCTGCTGCAAAACAGATCATGTAAATTGCTGTCCTTATGTGCACAGGAACATATTTTTATCTCCTTTGCTGATAGGGATTGAAACTACTGCATTATCCAGATCAATAACCTCATAAAAATTTCCAAAGCCTGTATTTTTCCCCTAGTGCAGATACCACAAAAGCTGTGATGAGAACTACTGCTTGGTTGGGTTATAATTGGGGGTCTATTTGGTTAAGTTTCTGGCATCTTTTGCCACTTTGGACAGGGATGGGAATCTGAAATAAATGTGGACATGATGGACTCCACTACTTAAATATCATTAAGTCTTTAAAGGTGGAGAAGACGGTAGGTCTCAGTTTCAGAGGCCTCCAGTTTCACCCTTCCTTTTATTGATAGCTCTTAAATTAAAAGTCAGCAAAGTGAGAGCTCTGTCCATTACTAAATGTATCTCTCCTAATTAGCTACTTGGGAATCAGGGGAATGAAATAAGGGAGAGTTTGTAAGCATTTTATGCACTGAAATGCCGAGGTAGTCTAGCACTTTATTATTCATCTGGTTTCCATATGCTTTTTGCCTACAGTGAAGTCCATCACTTATCCCCAGGTATCAGTGTCGTCTCAGAGCTTCTGCTCTATGAACTTCAATAGGTCTAGGTGTTTCTTCTCCGCACCTCCACCATGTAAATTACTCTGATAAATAACCACAAATCCTTTTGGAAGGATTGGAAAAATATTTATTGTCTTTATTTGTAGTGATGTTTCAGGGTCATTCCTAAAGAAACCTTGCCTCCATTCCAATTTCTGGGCTCTGGGCTTAAGAACTGCTCGGATCTGGAAACTTGGTAAGGAATCATATTTTCCATTTTGACAGCTGACGTAGCCTTCTAGTCACCAGATTTTGATTTAATTTTCCTGTTCTAAAAGTCAAGCCACAACCAGGTCACCTGCTACTTTTCTCACTCGTAGGAGCACTGTGATATATTAGCCATCACTACAGATCCCTATAGACACAGGGACTTGGGCTGCTACTTTGTCTTTACTGTCTAGTACAGTAATTATTTCTGCCTTATATTTGATGTTTCACTATCTAGCCCTTGCTATTCAAGAATCCTCTCATTCTCATTAACCAAAAATCTCAGTTGCATGGGGTCAATGTCAATGCTGGTCTTCTGAGGAAACCAACCACTTAGCTACTCAAAGATGTTGGTGCACCCTTGATAGCGCATTCTTTTTTGCAATAATAAAGTGAATCTCTTCTAAGCTGTCCTGGGGAACATCATCAGTTTGTAAATTCCCTGATTTTATGTAATAAATTCATTTTAAACATACCATATCCCTGTGAATTCTAAAGTCTTTCTCATACTCTATGGGACAGTTTTGTCATCTCCACTTCATTTCTTTAAGCCACTGACATGTCAAAGTTTCAAAGAACCATCCTACCAGAGTATTGTGACTATTTAATGTTATTCTTGCCAGGATCTTAAATCCCATGTTATGCTGCCATTTTAATAATCTTTTTTCTATTCTTCTGTAGTCTACTCCCTGGTTCAAGGCCCGAAAGATCCACTCCCATATGTGTTATTAGTCAGGTCCTGTGATTAATGCAGTGAGTAAGTTACTTCTTCCCAGAGCAATGACTATTTTGCCCACCTCAAACTATTCTGTGCTTTCACCCTTGTTAGTGGTATGAAAGTAATTAGAGGAAGAGAAGGGGGATATTGAGGAGGACGATTATCATCACATTGTAAAGTATCCATATAAGATGAAATTTTTTTGTTTGTTTGTTTCTCTTTCTTTTTTTTTTTTTTTGCATGATGTCCAGACAAAGGACTTCTCTCCCCAGTAGAGCTGGGCCACATATGCTGGCTCAGAGATTTTAGGACAATCTGGGGTTAAATGTTCTCACGTGCATTCATCCAAATGTCGTCTTTCTGGGTCTCTGAGACTAACTCAATTCCAATCCGGGCACTGACTTAGACATACAAATCCGGCCACAGATCACTTTTGGTTTTATGACTTGCCCAGGGTTGAGAGTTAGCTAACCCGAGGCTGTCATTCTTTCTTCAAGGATTATAAGGCATTAAGAAATGCCACTGACTCTATAATCCTTATGATTATTATTGCTCCCAAATGATTTATATGCTAGAGCATTAATTCTTAAACATTAGTTGAGCATTAGTGTCTCCTGGAGGACTTGTTAAAACATAGATTTCTGGGCCCTAAAACTTAGAGTTTCTCATTCAGTAGGTCTGAAATGAACCTACTAAATATATCATTTTGAACAAATTTCTTGAAAAGCTGATGCTGTCAGTGCAGGCTTGGTCCACAGCTCAAGAAACATAGTGCTACAAATTCTATGTAGCCCAGGACTTTCCCTTCAACTTAAACTTAGTTCTAATCCACCACAGGTGAAATTACTTGTTGAGATGCTGCAGTACAACAGGGGTTATTCCCAATTCACCTGATATCAGCATTGTGCCCTTTCTTGCCATCCAGCCCCTGATAACGCCTCATCCCAAAGATCTGCTTCCTGCGAGCACTCTTGATAACAACTCTCTTATGTTTGAATTTCCTTGAAAAGAGAACTTGCAATAAAGTCTTAGACACAGATGGTTCAATTGAGAGGCGATTGCAGAAGTAAAGATTAGGAAGTGAGGAGAGTGATTTAGGAAAGGAGAAAAAGAAAATATAATGATTTGTTATCTATACATATAAAAATAATAACAAATGATATATATAATATAATATCATATTAATATGACTAACACCAGCTGTATTAGTCAGAGTTCTCCAGAGAAATAAAACCAATAGGATGTATGTAAGGAGAGAGAAAGAGAAAGAGATTTATTGTAAAGGATTGGCTCATGCAATTATGAAGGCTGAAAAATTCTGAGATCTGCAGTCAGCAAGCTGAAGAACCAGGAGATCTGATGGCATAATTCCAGTCCAAAGGCTGATAGGCTTAAGACTCACGCAGAACCAATGTTTCATTTTGAGTTTGAAGGTGAGAAAGCACCTATGTCCCAGCTCAAAGGCAGTCAATCAGAAGGAAATTCCTTCCCGCTGGCGAGGAGGTCAGCTTTTTTGTTCTATTCAGGCCTTCAACTGATTGGATGAGGCTCACTCACATTACAGAGGGCAATCTGCTTTACTCAATCTACTGATTCAAATGTTAATCTCATCCAGAAACACCCTCACAGACATACCCAGAATAACATGTGAGCAAATGTCCGGGCACCCTGGGGGCCATTGAATTAATTATATTAATGATTTTGAACCCTGATTTCCCACCGGAATGTATACTAAGTGATTCTGACATATTGTTTTTAAGTTTACTGTTGATAGTAGTTAGGTAATTAGCTTAGAAATTTTGCATTTATTTTCAAAAATAAGTAAAATTTAACAATAGCCGCTTTCTACTTTCCTTATTCAGTATTGAGGCAAAGACTCTATGAGCCTAATAATGGAGTATTTTTCCCCTTTTCATCTATTTTCTTTAAAAATCTCCATAATAAAAGGGTTAAATCCTTTTGGATATTTGTCAGAACTCACCTTAACACCAGATAAGATAGGATATCTCTTCAATGGTAAGTGCTTTTTACTTTTAAATTTATTTAATGCTTATTGAGCTATTTTAAGTTTTTATTTTATGTTGTCCTGATATTTTTTTCACTTCTGTTCCATAAATTTTGCATACAATGTTTTGATCATGTTCAACATATTTCTTTTAGGTTTTTCTTAGTATCATTGCTATTATTTCTATATTTTCTTTAGTTAGCGAACATATAGAATTTTTAAGACTCCTTTTAAAAAGACGTAGAAGGAAAATAAATTTGTTGAGAGAATATTTAATCACTTAAAGAACCACTAGGCTGGCTGTATAACCAGGTTTGGTGAGCACAGGCACACTCTGACCTCTGAACTGGCCCTCTGAAGGTACTGATGCTATCACTGCAGGGCCTGAGAGACCACTCACAGTGCCACCCATGCCACCTGCAGTGGGCAATGAAATTGCCAATGGCACTGTTGTCCTTGAAACAAGGTTACAGAAGCTGTTGTCTGTGCCACTAACATCACTATAAAGAATTTTTTCTCTGGTTCCTGCTTCTTTTTTTATTTATTTATTGTTTTTGTTATGCAATATCTCACACGTATAGGAAAGAATATGTAATGGATGTGAGAGTTGAGGCATAGAAGCCAATGAACATGCATGCACCTTATGCCCAACTTCAATAAAACACCAACACAACTGAAGTTCTATCTTTTGTTGATTTTTATCATTTGAATAATATATACTATTCTCAATCTAGCAATGTGTCAACACTATGCTCCTTCACAAATAAATTACAACCTCTAAAATTTAAAAAAAACATTAAATTCATTGCCACTTTTATGAAACTCAAACACATACGTGCAAAACAAAAAAATATATATATGTTTAGAAACATATACATATTTTATAAAATATTAATGGAAGCTTGTCCGATATCATAGCTACTAGCCACATACAGCTCTTGGACATTTGACATGTGTCAGGTCTGAATTGCAGAGTAATTATTTTATATAAACACCTGATATCAAATTTTAGTGTCTGATACAAAGGACTAGTGAGGTGGGTGTATAGAGTACAAATAGTTTGAATGGCAAGTACAAAAAACATGAAAAAAATCCTTATATGTTTTTATTTACTATTAACATATGATTTTAAAATAAATAATTTGACAACCACATTATCATAGACTTATACATTTTTTTTACGAGTACTTAATATTTCAGAAAACCGACTTTAAACTCACACAATAATAGCCATATATATAATCACATTCTGAAAAAGAACATTGCCAGAAATAATTTCACAGAGAATATGCTTAGTTACTACAGAAGATATTTTTGAAATCTAAAAATTAGTTTTAAATAGAATATTTTAATCGACAGAACTATATCATTACAAAGATCATATGGGTAAAATGCAAAATAGGACTAACCCCCTTTTGAACTATTGAATTAACACATGAAATTTTATGTATAGTTTTTAACATTTTGTTAAGGCAAGATGTGTCAAATGCTTGATAATTAAATAACAGATGGATCACTGATTTGTAAAATGAACATAGAATATTTTATCAGTGTTGTAAAATATTGAAATGATAATATTTTAGATATATTGGGCTAAGTAAAATATATTGTTAAGTAATTTCATCTGTTTCTGGCTATTCGAAAAATTATACATTTGGCTCTCACTACATTTCTATTGTACAATACAGTTATAATGAAAAAGCAAGGATGTGATTACCACCATTTCGGGGTGGTTTCCTTGAGGTAGGCAGGATGATGCGATTGCATAGTAACATGCAGTTTATTTCATTCAAGAAGTATCAAAACCTTATCAATGGATTCTCATCATATGTATGGTAAAATTCAGGAGACCTTACATAGGGCTGCAAAGATCTGCATATTTTGGTCCCTGGACGCCTCTCTAAATGTACTTCCTATGGCTGTTCCTACGATGCCGGCCCTCTTATTTACTTTACTAGAATGTGGTAAGCATGTTCTCATGTCAGAACCTCTCAATTTATTCTTGTCTTTTTTTGGAACACTTTTACCTCACATATTCCCATGGCTTCTACATTTTATTTATGTTTCTACTTCAACATCACCTTATCTGAACGGTCTCCCTTCACCATCCTATTGAAAATTGTACTGTGTTCTGTATTTTGCACAGCATAGCTCTTTTTACCATTTGATTTTTTTAACTGTTTCTTTATGTGTGTGCCTATTCTCAGTCTGCCTCATTACAATATAAACTTCTCAAGGACAGAAGCTTTGTTGCTTCTGTTCCCTGCTGCATCTCCAGCTCCTAGAAGAGGACAGGCATATACTCAGCACTCAGTAAACACTGAAACTACACCCACAACCTAATGAACTCTACTAAAGAAAAGAAAGAATGGATAAAATATTGAATGAGTTGCATTAAGCAAATCAGGGTGCAAAAATATCCGAGCATCAAAATCAAATTATTATATAGAAAAATATGTATATTCACTTACACTTAGACTTACATATGGAAATATTTTGCACCGAACTCTTGCCAGTATTTCTATCACAGTCATGTAATTATAAGTAATTTTTTTCACTTTGATTATGTATATATCCTATCTTTTCTACAATTAGTATGTTCCATTAATTCAAAAAATATGATACAATTTTTAATTAATCAACCAATCTCTAATTATTTCCTACAGTCAATTTAAAAGTTAAATTGTGTTAAGCTACATTTGACATACTGTTTAAACAAGAGCACAAATATGAAACTTAAATTTTCTTATATATGATTGATTATTTTAATGGTCAAGAAAATATTTATAAAACAAAACACTTTCAAATCCCATAAAATCAATATACATATTCAAGACAGAGTGTAATGGAAAATCAGTTACTTTAGAGTATTAACATTTCCCGTTATTTTTGAGAGATGGATATAATTCACTTCTATAAAAATCTCAGAATAAGGTTCTATATATTTTTTCTCTCTTTATCTTGTAGTAATAGGTCTTATATATTGAGTAGCATAAAAGGATAGGGGACATTTTATCCTCAGCTTTGAGTAAGATTTTAATATTCAAAATAAGTTTTGTAATTAATTCATTACTATAAATCTAAATGTTTTAATGGAAAGAATTGTATTTTCATTGTAAATATATATTACCTGTCTGAGTGTAAAATGTTCATAATTTGCCTAGTAGGCAGACAACTTCCATACTTTAAAGAAAAAATAAAATTAATATAAAAGGAGTAATTATGCATATCATCATCACAGATCACTTTATGGTAATAATTTGATGGTTGATTGAGGTGTTTTATACCTTTTCTTAATTTAACAGGATGAGTGAAAAGAAACATCTCATTCACACAACTTTCAATTTATGTAAAAATAAGGTATATTTAAGAATCTCTCAGTAGTGGTACACAAAGATCCTAACATTTTCTTATTATCTCCAGTGTGTGTTATATTATTTTTGATAAATTAAAATTAGGCATTTTGATTAATTCCTCCTTTCCTGGAAACATATATCATACTCCATTCAGGATTAAATTAGACTTTAAGAATTTAATTAACTCATTTTAAATGCACGTAACTTCTAGTAGCATTTAATGAAAATTAAGTACATATATAAGAGATAGCAGAACACTCTGGTCTTTGGAATTTGAATAACTCAGTAAGTAAGCACCACTTATTATTACTGATACAAATACATATATCTCTTCCACTTAGAAAATCAAACACAATCATCATACTAAATACAGCATGGGACCATATCTATTAAATGAAATATTTTATTATAGATATCCAAAATGTTAGATTATTGAATTATAAATATTCATCTCTAAGTGATTATTTGAAATATTAATAATGTTAATTTAAAAGTCTGAACTGATAGTGTTCTGATGTGTGGCATGTTTCCATTAATAAAAAGTTTAGTAGAGTTATACATGATTACTAATTGATTTTATATAAGAATATAAAATTCATATTTTGAACTTTATTCAGAGGGAATAGAGAAATTTTAATGTTTTGGAAATGGAAAAATTGACTCTATTTTTTGAAACTCTATTCCTTTCCAGGTGATGGAAAAGTCATATATTCATCAGAAAGGAAAATTAAACTTACTAAAGTTATAATATTTAGACTACTTTGTTTTCTAAAATAGTCTATTCTGTCAGGAGACAAAGTATATATATGTCATTGGAGGAGCCCTGAAAGAGAAAATAAGGATAAAAAACATCATTAAAGGACTTCAAGTGACTTGAAAAACGTGTTAGAAGTAATATATTGTGCAACCCACTATTAAAAGACATTCATTCACTCAAGAATTATTTATTGAGGGCCGGCCCCGTAGCTTAGTGGTTAAGTGCGTGGGCTCCGCTACTGGCGGCCCAGGTTTGGATCCTGGGTGCACACCGACGCACCATTTCTCCGGCCATGCTGAGGCCGCGCGTCCCACATACAGCACCTAGAAGGATGTGCAACTATGACATACAACTATCTACTGGGGCTTTGGGGAAAAAAAGGAGGAGGATTGGCAATAGATGTTAGCTCAGAGCCGATCTTCCTCAGCAAAAAGAGGAGGATTAGCAAAGATGTTAGCTCAGGGCTGATCTTCCTCACAAAAAAAAAAGAATTATTTATTGAGGACCTATTATGAATCAGACAATGAAGAAAATAGTCAACAAAATTGACATGATCTTGAACACTGAACAAAATAGACAAGATCTTCTCTTCTCATCCTTTGCTACACGATCTGGTTTGGAGACTAAGTGAGAAGAAAAATAAGTACAATAATTTCAATTACGATAATGCCTATACTTTTCAGACAAGGGTGGTATGGTTGTGATGTATGTTAGGAGAGGGGAGGAGAAGCCTCCATTATCTATGGACTTCATCACGTTTCAATGTATTCAATTATTTAAAAATTGAAACCTAATACCAAAAGACCTAGACAGGGAAAAGAGAGAGAAAGCATTTAGGATTAGAATGGTAGTTCATTTAACTTATTATATTTTTAATCAATTTTAGTGCCTTTATCCTATCCCCAATCCTATCCTATCCCCTGTAAGTACTTTGAGGACTCTGTCTATATCTTCTTCATAATCATGAACTTGCACAGTATCCACACTAAGAGTGCCCTCAATACATATTTGTTGGGGGAAAAAAAAGAATTAGTGAATATCTCACTGTTTTCGGGTGTAAAAAATTTTGTGGCTTTAGATATGCTGTTCTTTAAGAGGCCTTGAACACTATATAAAACATAATTCTCCTGGATACTAGGTGCCTTGACAATGAATATTCTTTACTTTAGAATGTATCCATTCTATTCCATGAATTATACACTATATCATATATGTGCCCAGTTTGTAGATAAACATTTGACTTAGTCAAAATATATGTAAGAGTGATAATTAGTAAGTATCAAAGAAGATGCACTTCTCAGTATATACCATTTAAGGTGATTCCTTAAACTGAAACAGCCAATTATTGTTCTTTCTGTTGCAATCAAGCTACCTCAAAAAAATCTCTATTTTTTAGAGTCACTGTTACGAGGACATGGAGGGATGCTGATAGGGACTGAGTATTTGTGTTCTCCCCACCAATTCATATGTTAAAAACCTACTCCCTGGTGTGATGGTATTAGGAAGTAGGGCCTTTGGTAGGTAATTAGAATTGATGAGGTCATAAGGGTAGAGGTCTGATGAATGAGATTATTGCCTTTATATGAGTCACAAAAGATCTTGCTTCCTCTGTCTCTGCTCTACACCATGTGAGGATAAAACAAGAAGATGGCCATCAATGAACCCAGAACAGGGCTCTCACCAGATCCTAACCATCTTGGCACCCTGATCTCGGACTTCCAGCCTCTAAAACCATGAGAAATAAATTTGTGTTTTTTATAAGCCACCTAGTTTATGGTACTTTATCATAGCAGCCCGAATTGACTAACATGGGTGCATTGCACACAGAAATACGTGCTCCTTTGGTCCTTGCTAATGGTATCTGTAAAAGCAACACATATGACATAAAATTTCAATTCTCTTTTCCATATTGTGAAATCATAACACTAATATAAATATGAATTTTATGACTCAAAGGCAAAATTACACACAATAATTATGCATCCATTTTTAGTCTCATTTGTAGCACTGTATTGTTAGATTGAATTAGAAACACTTCATAATTAAAATGTCTCTACATCCCCACAACACATTGCTCTACTAGCCAATTAACCCCATACCCTAAACTATTCTTGATATTACAAGGTAATTAAGATTTCATACCAATTGCTTACTTACTGTTGGCTTAGCTTCTGTCTGAATCTTCTCATAGTCAAAACTTCTCACAAGTTGATTTTGTATCATTGTTTTAAATTTTGAAACCAGCAAATACACATTTTTTTTTTTGTGAGGAAGATCAGCCCTGAGCTAACATCCATGCTAATCCTCCTCTTTTTGCTGAGGAAGACGGGCTCTGAGCTAACATCTATTGCCAATCCTCCTCCTTTTTTTCCCCCCAAGGCCGCAGTAGATAGTTGTACGTCGTAGTTGCACATCCTTCTAGTTGCTGTATGTGGGACGCGGCCTCAGCATGGCCGGAGAAGGGGTGCCTCGGTGCGCGCCCGGAATCTGAACCCGGGCCGCCAGTAGCAGAGTGCACGCACTTAACTGCTAAGCCACGGGGCCGGCCCCAAACACACATTTTAAAGACATATTTCTGCTCACCATTTATTTTATTTGGCATTTTCTCCCTTCCCAGCAGTGTGGTATATCTAACTTAATGGAAGAAATTTTCCCCAAAAATAATATTAAGAAAATGTTAACATATTAAGATTATTTAACAGAAAATATTATCTGTTTTACAAAATCCACAGACCACCTACACTCATTATGATCATGGAGAAATGTAGGCTTTCTAGGTTTCTAGGACATTCACACACCATTCATTTCTACCCTGGCCACCAATAAGTGTTTTCCTGCATGCCTGCATAAAACCAGGTAGGTATCCAAATATAGTAGGTATCCAAATATCCTAGTTTTTCAGATCTGAAATTGTTCCAGAGAGACACTATTTTATTTAAAGAAATATGCACTACAATGTTCTAAATTGCTTGGTGATGATTTCTATCAATGATGCTTCCTCATCTTTGGGATAGAAGGTCTTTCTGTTGCTTCCCACACGCAGAGCTCTGTGCATCCCATGTTTTTTTTTTTTGATCTCAAGTTCCATCACCTGTGCATCTTCCTTCACCTTTCCCAGCTTGCATCATATTAAGTCTTCGGGAGAAGAAAATGAGTTTCTCAAAATGCATCTGTACTTTTTCCTGTTGCACTAGAGTGATTGTTTCTACATTAGTGAAGGTTGGAGTAAAAGGATAGGGGTAGAAAAGAATGGAAACAAATGGATCATGAAGCGATTAATACTTGGGATAATCTGACAGAGAAATAAATAAGAATTACTGGGGACCATAGCATTTAGCAACCCGTTAAACTCACGCTAAACCTTTGAAAATGCTTTTCACTATTGAACACTCAAATATTGAGACTCCTCTTCTGTTCAAGCTGCATTGATGACACTCTTCTGGCTGTCCACTTCACGGAAAGTTTTTCTTCATCTAACAGGCACATTTGGCTTTCCCTTAAGTGAATTTATAGCCCATTAGTTTCCCAAAGAACTTTTCCCATAGGAATCACTGAGCTTCTGTTTCTCCTGACCATACAGCTCAGTCGTCTAGCGGTCTTTGCGTCTTTGCTAACCTCACTTCCCTTGATCAGCAAATAGTTCTTTTTCTTTTTTTTTAACTTTAGGATTCCACAGATCAAAAAATAATTCCTGTCTACTGCTATCATATTTTTTTAATTTTATTTTTATATATTATGCATTTTTCTTTATTCCTCAATAAATTATGTTTGGTCTCCTTCATCTGTTTTGGGAGGTGGCTATAAAGATGGAGACGATACACATATTTAATTGGGTGAACTCCACTGACACTGAATTAAGAAGCAAAGGAGAACTCAAAATTGTTCTTTCAATGTGCTTTTGATTGCTTTCATTCTCTTCCTCTTGGAGATTGCCTTTTCACTATAAAATAGAGCTCTCTAACATCCCACATCTCTTTGAGATTATGCTCCTCAGTGAAGCCCTACATTGCTTGATGTCTTGGAATGCTTCCTTACCTATTTGTTTTTATAATCTGGATATAGTTAATTTGCTAGATTTGAAACTAAGCTTCTCTATATTTTCCCTGAAGGATTTATATAATCTTGATCCTTATCTTATGGATGGGAAATGACACATATAATTCCCTATTTCAGATTTTATGTATCTTATAAATTATCCCAAGCAACAGTGAAGAAAAAGATCAACTTCAACCTTTCAGTAACATATGTGTTAGACTGATCTTTATTTTGAAATACATTGGTAATCCTTAATTTATTAGGAGAAGTATGAAGTTTTCTGATACCAGGAAATAACCATCTTCTTTCTGTATTCTCAGTTCTCTATGGATCTTTCTCAAATCACCAACATACCTACAAAAAAAATTACTAAATTTTCAAGATATATATCACATAAACCAATACCGCTCACAATACACTGATCTTCCTTTAAAAAAAGAAAAAACTGGGTCATAGACATTTGCATATTTATATTTGTACTGCCATATGACTATGCCCTGTGAGATTTTCACCTTATAGATCATATTAACTATAGGCAGGGCTATTACTAATATGATATTTCCTTATTCTTGTGTATTTTCATTCCCAGGCTGCATCCTTATTGGCATTTCTTTTATTTTTATTATTAAAAATTTAAACTTCAGGCACATGAAAAGATGCTCAACATCACTAATCATCAGGGAAATGCAAATCAAAACAACACTAAGATACCACCTCACGCCTGTTAGAATGGCTATAATCACCAAGACAAAAAACAACAAATGTTGGAGAGGATGCGGAGAAACAGGAACCCTCATACACAGCTGGTGGGAATGCAAATTGGTGCAGCCTCTATGGAAAACGGTATGGAGATTCCTCAAAGAATTAAAAATAGAGATGCCCTATGATCCAGCCATCCCACTAGTGGGAATCTATCCAACGAACCTGAAATCAACAATCCAAAGAGGCTTATGCACCCCTATGTTCATTGCAGCATTATTCACCATAGCCAAGAAGTGGAAGCAACCTAAGTCTCCCTCGACTGACGACTGGATTAAGAAAATGTGGTATATATATACAATGGAATACTACTCAGCCATAAAAAAGACAAAATCGTCCCATTTGTAACAACATGGATGGGCCTGGAGCGTATTATGTTAAGTGAAATAAGCCAGAAAGAGAAAGACAAACACTGTATGATCTCACTCATATGTGGAATATAAACCAACACATGGACAGAGAAAACTGGACTGTGGTTACCAGGGCAGTGAGGGTGGGGGGTGGGCACAAGGGGTGAAGGGAGTCATATATGTGGTGATGGACAAACAAAAATGTACAACCCAAAATTTCACAATGTTAGAAACCATTAAAACATCAATAAAAAAAAAAAAAATTTAAACTTCAATATTTTGACCACCTTTATCTTCCAAAGTTTCTCTCTTAGTTGTCTTTGTAATTAGGTAATCATTACATTTATTAAGGAAAAGTTACTATATTGTTAAATGAAAGTAAAATATTTAATATATTATAATATTAAAAATTTATTGGAATTTGGAGAGCTGGAGTTTTTAAAAATAATACATTTAGTGAGTAATATTTTAAATTTCCAGAATCAATGTACTAACAATTACGTATATACATGTATATCTATATGTATATATACATATATATGTGTATAGATAGATACATGTACACATTTATGTAAATACATGTGAAGTATATAGTTACATGCATGTAAGAATATGGATATGTATATATGTATTATCTTTCTCCGATTTATCTGATGAATAGTAACATATACAATAAAAGTGCAGATCACTATGTTGTAAATTATCTACTTGATATTAGAAGACAGGTTACGCTAAAATAGGTTTTCTATTGCTTGCAAAAAGAAAATAAAAGCATTTTAAAGGTTCAAATTATAATTAAACATGGAAAGGTTTTATTGAACCAGAAATTCCCATACAGCAATCATCATATTAAATCTGATATGTGCACTAGTCATGTAATATGGATATTTTACTTTTCATTTCTTTTCTTTAGGTTTTGAAATAGCATTGCATCAAACTATAGTCAGCTTGTATATCTAGACTGATCACATGCTAGAAACCTAAATCATAGTTTATTTTAAAAGTTTCTGGGTGTTCACATCTAAGACATGTCGAATTGCTGTTCAGAGAGATTTTTATTAGACACATGGATGAGATATCACACTTTCAGGAAAATAGTCAATAAAATCTTTAGCTTTTCTCACATGAGGAAAATTTAAGTTCACATTCTGAACTCTATCTCATTTGCCTTTCTCTGTTTTTTTTAAGCAAACAGATTTTTTCATGTTGAGCTGTGATTGTAATACATTTTTAACTTTAAATATTGAGCTCTCTGTTTAGATCTTTCACTCTAGTATTTAAAAAACAACATTACAAAAAATGCTAAAATATAATTTAATCTATTGCTTTCCTACAAAATATGTATTGAAGAAACACTTTTGGCACAAATATGTGTACATAATATATTTGCTAATATGTTGCACGCATTATTCTATCTTGGAATAGGAAGAGATCACGGAGCTCCCCTAACCTTCCACCACCCCCCCATATTATCCATCATTGTAGAATCTTCTTGTGTTTTATCAAACTAGTGACACTCAAGAATGTGCTAAATGGTAAGGGATTTAATAAAAAAAATACGTAGTCAGTGCTTTCTCTGTGTCCATCCTTAATTATAAATAGGTCCTATGGTTTGTGGTGGCCATGGCCTTATAATAGTCAATGCCTGAGTTTCTTTTTTTCTTTATTTTTAATCATATAATCTCATGAATATCTACCTACTCAGAAACATAACAAATCTTATTGGATTGTTGAATGCATTCCCTTTTATCTCATCTCATCAGCAGGTCTTAGTTCTAGCCTCAAATAAATGAGTTTTGAACTCATTAAGGCAGGAACTTTTCTTTCTTTGTGTTCTGACATGTGCTCCATAGAGTGAGACGGGGTGTAGTTTACTGGAACCTGCATACACCTTTAGACAGTGTAAGCTATCAGGCACAATATATGATATATACTGTAATGTTGTAATACTATAATACAATATATAATATAATAATATAAGATAAATATATGATTAGCTATAATTTCTAGAGAGAGCTCTCTCCAACATGGCAGTGACTGACTCAGCAAAGTCAACTCTTTTTTTCCTGGAAAAAGCCCACTCATTTTCTCATTTCAAATTTTCAAAGAATGCCTGCACCAAATATTACCCACAATAGGAACATTACAAAGAATAAAAGAAAAAGTGCATTTGATATAATTACTAGTAAATATAAATGAAGCACTGTATGCTCTGCCAAATTCAAAGCTCAACCTGAAGGAGGGGTGATTTTTAAGATTTTATTTTTAAAAATTAAAGCCCAGCGTATATACTATTTTCGCTTGAAAATGCATACCTAACTCTACAAGTGAAACATTGATTATGAACAGGTATTAATCACAGTCTGAAAGGACAATATGATGAAACAATGATGCTTGCGTAATCTGTGCTCTTTTCCTTAACTATAAAAGCTATTCCCCACAGCTATGTCCAAATATGGTTATTTTGTAGAGAAGATGCTTTCAAATTTCTATAAACCCAGATCATATTTACTTTTGTATTATAGAAGTAGAATTCCATTTCTATCATGTAACAGTAAGCCATTACCTTAAAAACTGTGCTGCATTCTTCCCTGCACAATTACCTTCCATTCTTGACCTTCATACTGACTTCTGGCATTCAGTCTGCCTAAATATAGAAATTACACCCAAATAATCACAGAGAATTCAGGCTGTTTGTTTCTACTGTCATATTAAAAGTAATACTCCATTAATTTTCTTTTTTTTTTTTAATGGGGAAGTATGGAAGGATTTTAGAAAGGCAGCTATGTTTTTGTGTGTGTGTGTGAGGGAGATCAGCCCTGAGCTAACATCCATGCTAATCCTCCTCTTTTTGCTGAGGAAGACCGGTTCTGAGCTAACATCTATTGCCAATCCTCCTCCTTTTTTTCCCCCAAAGCCCCAGCAGATAGTTGTATGTCATAGTTGCACATCCTTCTAGTTGCTGTATGTGGGACGCGGCCTCAGCATGGCCGGAGAAGCAGTGCCTCGGTGCATGCCCGGGATCCAAACCCGGGCCGCCAGTAGCGGAGCGCGCACACTTAACCACTAAGCCACCT